TTAGAAACCGGGAACCTGTTCTCTCATTTTAGTTGTACGCAAATAGCTATGTGTTGACTTCAGTGGAGACAGTCATATAAATACAACTGATCTGTGTCATATCAAAATAGTTGTATTTGTTACAATGTAGAAAGTAAAGCTCATCCCACGGCAAAATTCTGCTGTCTTTTAAGCTGGTAGGACTATCAAAATTATTGGGATTGCACTGGTATAACAGAGAAAAGAATTGCATCCTTTCTGGCAAATCAATTGGAAAATAACACCAGCTAGATACGAGGCTACATTGACCATTCTTCCCTTGCTGAAACCTCCCAGGAACCCCCAAGTGTTCGCTGTAAACTAAGCAGTGTTTCAGTATCACACACTAGTCTCTATAAACGACTTCCCTTTCCTACCAATTACTTCCTCTTTCATACCATTCATTTTTTGCATTTCCTCAAATTTTCGTCTCTTAATCTTTATTAATGGGTTTTAGACAGAAACATTATTTGTGTTCGTACTTACTGAAAATGTCTCTGCTGCCTTGTGAAACACAGCTGAGAGAAACCTTAATTCGATAAGAATTATTGTTTTGCAAAATGAGTATTGTTACATTAGCTGAGCACTGTATTTAAATTGCTTTTTGTTACAATGGGTCTCACTTGGACTATTTGGATAGTTCAGTTCAGTACGTGGTAAGGTAGAATTGCACTAATAAAATCAAGCTGCAAGTACATTTCATCTGCCATTTGGTACTTTCAGTGCTTCATAATTAACTTTGGTCAAAAATTACCCCTTCAAGCCCAAGGGATTAATTCTCCCTTAACTATATTTGTGCATTACAGGAAAAACAGTCATCCCTTGGTTTCCTGGCCTTGGACGAGTGGTTTACTGCATTTGCAACCTACAATACTTGTGGAATGAATTCCAGGTGTGAGGTTGCACCTCGTGGAGTGAATTTCATGCTGCCTGATTTCTTTTTATTTAACTCTGGGAAGAGAAATGCCCTCAACCAAGTTTCCATGCTCTGTGTGCCCCTGCCCAGCATGATCTGGCCATCGGAGAGGTACCTGAGGGCAGCTTTGAGCCCAGGGACCAGGATGGATGCTATTACACCATGCCCATTTGCCGTGCACCCTCCCAGCTTCCAGCACTTAGCAGTTTAACAACTTCCTCCTAATATTTTTTCTTATATTGGATCACCTACTTTTTATTCTCCTCCCCTTAAATTATTTTCCTTACTCACTGGCTAGCCTAGCCTTTATCCCTTGCCTTGGAGGAGTGCTGATCTTGTCTTTGTCAGACAACTTCTGTTAGCCTCCTTGGCATATATTTGCCTTTTGGAAGAAGATAAATAGAGGAAGGCAGGTGATTCCTGCCAGTGTCAAGGAGAGGGTCTCAAGACAGTATCTTGCCAGGTTACCTGAGTGCTACTAAAATAATCCAGTGAGAAAAGGTCATCTTTAATCCAACCTTTATACACAGGCAATCACATTACCATATGTCAAAGACCTGCATTAAAAAGAGTCAATGCAGATGAGTATAAATATTTCAATGTACTAACAAATCTTCCAAGCCCTTCCCCTGAACTATTTTGGGATGATACTGAATGGCAGTGTTAAACATTTCAAGAACTTGAAAATAATTTGAATTTGTTTCCTTTTTACTGTTTTTGACTGATTTAGAACCCAATGAACAACTATCAAAATTTTCAAGAGTCTAAAATTACTTTAAATAAGTAAAAACATGGAAATGTTCACAGAAGTATACCAAATAGTTTTTCAACCATTTCTAGTCTCAGGTCATTATTAAAGAATATTCTAGATCCCAAATAGAAAACATGAACTGTTAACAACACCCTGCATGAAACAAGACATTTATGAGCTCTGGCATTTCTACGAGAAATTATACTGGGCTGAACAGGATTCTTGTTCCAGGACACGAGTTTATCTGCAACACAGGAGAGCACCTCCTGAGAAGACTCAGCAGCAAAGTCCAGACCTGGCTCAAACAAGCACCAATGCGATTTTTGCAGCCTTGTGGCTCTCTGATGGGCTTAGCATGTGACGAGAAAGCTCCGCACATATTGCCACCTGATTCTTCTCCATCTAAACCGTTGCAGACAAAAGTGTTTTAAAAAGAGCACTCAGAAAAGAGGACCACCCCTTGCCTGTTCTCCAGGATGGTGACCACCCTGTAGAGCAGCCAGTTACTAATAAATGAATTAGGCTATATGAACCAAAGACTGTCAGAAAAATGGGGGCAGAAAGTCTGTTGAGAACGTGTGCGCCATCACTCAAAGTGCGTCAGTCTTTGTGACACATGGGCATGACTGGAGGCCTTTTGGAGATGGGAGGAAAAGAGGAAAGAAATAGAGATGACTCGCCTGATGGCGCACTGCCTATCTTGCAGGGGAGATCAGCCTGTCTGAGAGGAGGAGGAAGGGAAAGAAGACATACAGATGGTCTGACTCCCAGCAGTGACAGGAGCCCTTGGTCTCCTGTCTTTCTGATAGTGACAGTTGCTGTCACCTTATTTTGAAGTCTCCTACAGAAGAAGTGGGAGTCAGTATGGTACTGAAAAGAGCAAAGGGATAAATCACGTAACTAATTGTAACCATTTGGTCTAGGAGGAGTGATGGAGGTTGGTGGCGTCTGTTGAGAGCCTGCAGTAGCTGAATGTGCACTTTCCTACCTCCTTCCACCTATGAAGAAAGTTTGCACTACTTATTACAGAAGAAGGTCTTTTAGGGTCAAACCAGCTACTGAGTGCATGTTTACAGTGCTGCTTTCCTAGCAGCGTGTGACAGCTTGGGACCCATAGGCTGCCATCTCGTTCAGTCAAATTTTACTACAGCATCTTTTTAAATAGACCAAAAGGACACCTTATGCACACACACTGTCATCAAAAGAGGAAGCTGCCAAAAAAAGTCCCCCCGAGGGTAAGATTATTTTTTCTATTAACTCTGTACTGGACCCAAAAGGCATCATTCTGCCTAAGAAGCAGCCAGTGCTCCAACACGTGTATGCGTAGAGAGAGATGGACAGTTCTTGGTTTGAGGAGGAATAGAGCATTTGCTCTTAGGAAGCCTTGCTTTCTCTACCCAGTGCTACCACTGGGTCTTTTCTTTTCAAGGTGGTGGAAAAGACATTTAGTTTCACCAAGAAGCGCACAAAATGTTTTAGGAACCCGTGGGACTTTCTTTTCAAAGTAAATCCTATTCAATAATTTTCCCTTAAAAAAACCAAAAACAAACCCCTACCAGATTTTTAAAGGATTTTTTTCACCCATCCCACTAATTCCAAAGAAAGTTATCTAACAGCTACATAAAATAAGTGAAATAACATGAATTTAAGGCAGATCAAATATACTGAATGAACCCTTAGCATGGATACTGCCATTAATTAATTTCAATTTCATTTAGCTTAATTCTCTTTGAAGCAGAGCATACTCAATCAGATTAAGGTCATTTTAATTCACATTTGGCCTCTCTAATATGACACCCTACACTTACTTGGATTAACTTCCCCTCCCATATTTAGAAAAATCCTAAGTAACCACAAACCTGGAGCTAAATCTTGTGTCTCTTTTGCACTACTGAAAACAGGACCTGGTTTTGTAAGTTATTTAGATGCTATTGGATATTTTAACCATGATCATTTTTTTTTTTTTTCCTGAAAATGTCAACAAAGATGGGCTGTGCCAGAAAGCCTTTGTCACCTGAACCTCACCTACAAATCCACCCACCCACTGACGGCTTCATTTACTTGCTCTGCCTGGAGAAAACACACTCTGCCCTCCTGGGGCTCCTGTCTCCGCAGCAGACCCTGGAGCTGCCCTGGCACTTGCATGTTAGGCTGAGCAAAGACCCTGTTTCCTCTTTTTTTTTTAAAGGAAGTATACCAAGACTGGGAAAACCACTAGGCAGGGTTAAAGTCACTGCATGGAGAAAGAGAACAAACTTTCTTAACAAACTGAATCACACCACCACTGCACTGCTTGTCTGACATACGATCCCCAGAGTGCAAAATTAGAGGGTTTCCAGAGAGAAACTGAAAGATAGCAATAGGCCCAAGGGAAGGCAGCCAGGATATTCTTTTGTCTTCAAAGGAGATCTAGCTGGGCCCTAACTATCCCCAGTATCAGAGCAGAGAGTTAATGAGAAGTCTTCTCCCATCTTGGTGCATCCGCAGTAAATCTGCAGCACTCCTGCAGCACTCCTGCACAACTTCAGCTGTCTGAAGGTTGCTTCATCCCCAGCAGTTACCAGGAAAGGAGAGTTTGCAACCCAAGAGCTAAGGACAAGATGTCCTTCTGGAGATTTTTTTTCACCTTTTCTCTCTCTCTCTTTTTCTAAGTAAGGCTAATTAGAGCATCGATGGCAAATCCTTACAGCTCTCTTGGTCAGAAGGTATCAGGAGATTCAGTCAATAATTTATTAGGCCACATGATTAGTGTCTTTTCAGAGACCAGTCATCCAAACTAACCTGTAGTGCCACACTTTAAAAAAAAAAAAAAAAAATGCCCAGCATTAGCTTGAGGGCAAAGCTGGTTCTCAGGAGCTGTGCTCTTTATTCCTTCCTGATATATTGCTGTCAGCAAGTGGCATCTCTGCAAGTGTCAGCAGTTACCTGCGTGCACAGCTAGACTCTGAGTAGTGCAGGGAGGGTTTGCTTTTCTGCAAGACACAATGCTAGAGATTATCATCCTTTTGCCTGCTGCTACTCCTTGTGATTCAGCACAGATTCCAGTACCTCCCTGCACAACCAGGAAAAGATTTCTCTATTTTTTTTCAAATGCTGAGCCCAGGGCATGCAGAGCATGTTACAGAGAAGAAACGATGCTCTCATGACCCGTCATTGCCTTTAGCTTGGTCATTTTACACGTAAACATGGCAGGTCCCTTCTCTTCCATGGCATCCTCTCGGTGATGCCTTCCAAAGTGAATCCCCAAGCTCTTATGCAAAAGCAGAAATGATGCCCAGCAGTATGCACAACTCCAACAAGGCGCCACTGAGTTACCATTAAACCAGATTCCAAAGTTTACCTTAGTTCCTTGAAGGGGTCTGCCCTGACATTGGGAGTTTCTATAGATTTAGGGAACACTGTGCCTTCTGCTCCTGAAATCACAAAACAAAACAGAAGACAAATTGTAAATATTAGAAGCTGTTATCAGGGGAGTGATTGTCAAATCATATCTAGGTGCAATTTAACCCATCACCTGACCCCATTTCTCTCTTACACTCATCCCTTCTGTCCCCAGGAAAAGTCAGACCTTGGTCATCTGAAATTGGTTGCCTTCATTACAACTGCTCATTTCCCCCTGCTTTTAGAGACGGTGGGGAAGGCAGCGCTACCCCATTTGCTGACTTTTTAGATTGTGAGCTGTAAACTTCCAGGTAATATGAACAGCCTTCCTAAGTTTCAGGCCACTGCAATCCTCTTCTGTGGCCACCTGCATAGCCCAGGTTGGACCATCTCACCCAGCCATCTCTGCGTCGGGTCTGTATTTTGTGACCAAGACAGGCTGTGTCTCTCTAGAAAGATGTGCTCTCCCCACATTGTTGTTTTAAGCCAATGGAAGCACACGTCATCTTCTGGCAAGCCTTTCCACTAATTGTTCTAATTTAAGAATGTGCATCTAATCCGAATTAGTCTCACTTCAGCTTTCAGCCAGTACATCTTCTCATGTCCTCGCACGTCAGCCAACCAGCCCTGCATGAGCAGACTCTCCACCTTCTGTAGTTACCGACAGCGACTCAACCACCCAACCTTCTCCAATTCTCTGAAAAGTTACAGCTTTCTTAATCATTCACTGTGAAGCAGATTTTCTGGAGTTCTTATTGCTCTTTTCTGAACCCATTCCACTTTTAAAAATCTCTGTTGGGACACAGGAGTCCCCAAGTGCTGTCACTGATGCTCTATGCTGCAGAACGTCACATTCTCGCTCCCATTGGAACTTCCAATTAAAACACAGATAAGAATGGTACTAACTGCCTTACACACAGCAGTGCACTAGAAATTAATGTTTGTGTTCTCTAATATATAGCTGCCTATCCAGTGGGCAAGTATGACCTGTATCCTTAAATTTAGACCTGTGATCTCGTGTTCAGACACACTGTGAACAATTGAGTCATTCATTGTCAGTAGTCATCGCAGCAATTTCAGTGCCAGCATGCAAACAGCACCAGTGGCATTTTTTTATTTCCTTATTTTTTAATTTGATAAAGCTATTGGTGCAAACTACAGATCCTGATGAGATCTTTTACATATACTGTTTGAGATCTCTCTTAACACATGCTATTATAATTGTTACCTATGTGCAGTCCAGAGTCATCACTACAGAATAAAAAGTGTTCTGAGTTGATGCAAAACATGTTAATACAACATCCTCTGTAAATTCTGCTATAAGTGAGAAACACCTACGGCTACAATAACACTACACTTTCTTTGAACTGAAATAAATTAACTAAGCAGCCCCACTGTCTTAAAGAAAAAAAATCACAATGAAAATAAGCACTCTAACATTTATTAAAAAACCCAACTCCTTTTTAACCTACAGAAAAACAAAGTAATCCCAAAGATGATAAAAGCAGTCTAAAGTTTGAAGCTTTATACTTGGGAATTGAAATTGATCCGATGGCATAATACAGATATTTAGCTCTTAACTTTACTATAAACCTTCATCATTACAAGTTGTCAAAAGCAGCTGTAACTTGCCAGCCATGAAGGTTATTATTATCAGATCTGTCCTCTCTCAACAGTTTCCAAATGATTTAAGTCTCTGCTTATCCACACAACTGCCTTGGCTATTAGCTTTGCAATGAAACTTAGCAAAAGACGCAGCCTGCATGTATCTGTATAATAAAACAATGATTTTCGAGGGGAGGAAGATGAGGAAGTGCAGCTGGAGAGGTGCACATAGATGTTCTGGTACCCTTTCCACCTGTATTGCTTAAATGGTGACTTTACGTTAGTAATTTTAATTCATTTTTACACACTAAGTCAGCTACTTAAGTTATGCAAAGCCCAAAATAACAATCTGCATGTAACCAGAAATACCTGCAGAATAAGAAGAAACTTTAGCACATTTTTAATGACTTGGGGTTTTCCAGACTTTCATTACTTTATTTAAATGCAGGAAGTAACTTTGGAAACAAAGTCAACAAAGACTCCCATGCAGTCATTTCAGGAAGGCTGAAAGTAAAAAAGCCTGGCTATTCCTTTCCTCCATCTCCCTGTTT